AAAAGTAGGTTTACATTTTTGAGGGTGCAAAACAGAGTTTATTCTTGTACAGTGGAACATGGGCACTTGAATTTAATTCATTACAGAGGGTTGTTTGTGGGGGCGACTTCTTTCGCAAGTCTCCCTGGTGCCGCGGACATACGTGAGTGAGAAATATATGGTTGAGACAAGATGAGATCTGTTTGGGGATGGGTAGTGGGCTGTGGCCAGTTTCTCCGAGGAAAAAAAGGCCCGGAGCGCCTTTCTCCATAGCCTTTTATTGGGTTGTAATACACAGGAATACAGGGCGGCAAGGATCAAACAGTAGATAACATTACAAAGAAATCTGAGGGCTTACTATGAGTCAGTGTCTGTCAGGAAGAGAGTTGCAGAAACTTTGGGAGAGATACTCATTTCCTCTCGGACCCTTATCATATGAATGAAAGCACTCTTAGCAGATTTCACAGGTTTATCAGCAAGTCTTTGTGATGCCAGATTTCCCCCCAGGACACGCTCTAGCAAGGCAAGGAGCTGCAACCCTCTCCAACAGGTATTCAGACTTAAGGGGAATAGAGCCGGGAAGCGCTTCTCTCAGAGAACATGGGGACTCGGGCTTTGATGAAGCCAGGGGATCGGTGGGCGAGAGCCCATTGCTCTTTTTTGCAGACCCCCCTCACCCCGAGTCCTTCCATGAAGGCCTCCCAAGTCATCCAATCTGGCTTAGGTTGCTCCCCCGCTGTGAGGGGTCTTACCCTTCATTGAATTCCGACCAAGCTTTGGGGGCAGGGAGAGGAACTGAGGCAGTTGCTACCAGAGACAGGCTTTGTCTACTGTGGCTGGCATTCCAGAGGTCGTCTCCGCCCTTAGCCACAAGGGGTAGAGATACGATTACTGAAATCAGGCAGAGCGGTCTAACAGTTGTTCAAGAGTGATTTGTTTAAAAACAGAATCATTTCTCCCATTAGAAATAATGTAAATTGAATAAATCCATTTCAGAACACCAAATGAGACTGTTTTAACCTTTCTTATATATAATAGATGTCTGATGTACTGTTTAATGTATAAACAAACACTTTTTAAAAACAAAAAGGATATGAAATGTAAAAATTTAACAAGAAAATAAATTGTGCATTACAAAGTGAAAATTTATGTACACACTGAGAGCTATTGACAAATGAATATGCAATAGATGGATGGAGGAATGTTATTGTTTGGAAAGGGAGTCCCCTTCCATAAAAATGTCAGATAGTTGTTCCTCGGTAGTTCTTTCTCTCTTTTCTCTTTGCTTCACTAGAACTTACTTCAGGCTCACTGAACATTTGTCTCAATAAAAACCTATCCAGTGGTTTGGTTTTGTCTGCATTTTAACACTTACCTGAAATGAAACAATGCATTGTCATTGAACAAATTTATTGCATAGATTCCCATTTCTTTGTCAGAGTAATATTTCTCAATAAATTTTGCATTACTCCCCATTTATCAAGCATTTACTTGATTAGTATAGTAGGCATATACTCCTTTTCCTCCTCCGCTTCTGAAGATACCTCCTCAGCTTCCATCTGTTCCTGCCCTTACAATGCAAGGTTTAGCAGTAAACGGACTCATGCTCGTGCATTCTCTCGTTTGTTATCCGAAAGACCCGTGACTGATGATACAGGTATCAGCATGAAAGAAGTGGAGTTTTGTGCAACAACTGAGACTTTTTTTTTCCCATGAACAACTTGGTTGAGAACCAAACTTGACATGGGAGATACTTGATAAGTGACTTTTAACCATATTATTTATTAAGTATGGTATTATTTTCCATGGGAACAAGTGTAAGCCTACTTTTGCCTAAGCCTGTATATACAACCTGTTATTTATCCATTAATCAGTTGATCAACATGTGGGTTGTTTCCACCTCTGAGTATTATGAATAATGCTGCTGTGAACATTTGTGTGCAAGTTTTTGCATAAATATGTTTTCAACTTCATCAGGTACATACCTACAAATGGAATTGTTAGGACATATGGTAACTCTGTTTAACTTTTTAAGAAACTTTCACACTTTGCAAAGAGAATCCTATGCTTTCTCAATTTGGTTTAGAATATTCCACTCCAACTAATTCAATTCAATGAGTATTCACTATGACCTTATGTGCTAAGTGATCTGCTTGGCAGAGGGGACACAGATCACTAAAATAAATTTTGTAATGGGGTTCTATTGTTTTTATTGCTGTTACTGTGGCTTTTTATACCTTTAGATGAGGTGTGTACTAAACTCATGTTATTAGCAGTTACTGAAAATTATCTACAACTAGTGACACTTCAGAAGCCTAGAGAAATAAGGAGTCTGGATCCAATTTTCATCATATTGAATATGTAGTTATCCCAGCCACCAAATCACTATCACAGTATGAAGTAGGCACATAAAGATCTTTAAGGTGGTTCCAATAGCCAAGGGGAAAGAATTTATTTAATTTGACAGCTAAAATTCCCTATGCCTCTTGTAAAAACAGAAAAGAAGAAATGCCTAGGAAAAAAAATAAACTGGCCAAAAGGTAGAAAGATTAAGTGTAAGGAATGTCATCAAATGTAGAGGAAAAAGTTTCAAGAAGGGAGTGGTTAAATAACGTTAAACCTCTTAAGGTTTCTTATAGATGCATCTTATGATCTAACTGGCTACCTTATGTGCCATAGAAGGAACCAAGGCAACTGAACTCTTACAGTTTCACCAGACCCTCTTCTCTGAATGATATTTCTGGCAAAAAAAGGAACTGAGCTTCAAGGGCAGAGGCCCTGAGAAGGGCAGTGCCAACTGGCGATGTCCATTTGGCCTTCTGGTAAGAGCAAGGGACAGGGTTTATGTTACATTATAAAGGCAAGAGCTTCAGTACACTGCAAGAATGCAGGCCTCATCCATCCATCTACTACTTGGCACTTTTGTTATTTCCTCCCAAGGGATGCTTGCTTTTCTCTGTAGGCTACACAGGAAGTTAGAGAGCTGGAAAAGCAATTTTCTTTTCCTCTCCTTCTTAACTATTTCCCCTAATCCTGAGACAAGGTCTCTGCTTTGTCCTTGGCAAGGGGGATAGGGTGGGGCTGGCCAACCTCTAAGGCGGCCTTCCCCCTACTTCAGTAAACTAAGGGAAAGTTCATTTTATCAAGAAGCTAATTAAAGATTGAAAGAGACTTTTAAAAATGAACTAGAGTTTCCTTTGATAAAATTCAAGTGGAGCTTATGGACTGTATTAAATATTTTCACCTTCATGTCAGTCTGGACTTCCTCTATTAGAGTGAATTTATCTGTTGAAAATGATAGCACAGAAAATGAGATAATATTTCACTTTGGCTAACAGTAGTTCTTTCTTGACTCTATGCCAAATATAATTTTAACTAATTAAGTGTGTCTTTCTTCCATGGATTACTTTATCATTGCAATGCTGTTTTACATAAAGCTTTTGCAATAAAAAAGTAATTTTGAAAATGCCATTTTAGTTCTTACATTTCTCTTGTAAAAGGCTTATCTACTTTGTCTAAATCTCTCTTAGTAGAATTCTTAGTCACGTGAATTCTTCTGACTCACGCTTCCTCCAAAGTCTTTTATATACTGGACTTCCAATGGGTGTAAGTGTCCCTCCTGTGACAGTTTTTCTTATGTGTAATCACTCTGAATTATAGGAGGATAGAGAAAATGTCCAAGCAGAACAGCCCTGGTTATCAAGTTGGTTGGGTTACTCCCATTCTCTTTTAAGGTTAAACAGTTAAGTTTACAGAGCAGCAGTTCATACAAAATATTACAAGAAGATACTAAAACAACAAGTATAATTGGCTATCTTCTAAAAAATAAGCAGTAAGCATTAAGCTTTTGTTATTATAAAGTTATAATAAATATTTTAAAAGTAGAATTTGTAAAAATTGTACTTTTCAGTAAGAAAACACATTCTCCATATTCTTAATTAAAACAAAATAAAATAATTATAGCAATGGAGGCAGTTTGGCTTATTTTATTTTTAAATAGTTTATTTATTTTTAGAGAAAGGAAGGGAGGGAGGGAGGGAAGAAACATCAATCTGTGGTTGCCTCTTGAGCACCCCCTACTGGAGGTCTGGCCCTCAACCCAGGAATGTTCCCTGATTGGGAATCAAACTGATGACCGTCTGGTTTGCAGGCTGGCACTCAATCCACTGAGCCACACCAGCCAGGGCAGTTTGGTTTATTTTAAAAAACTAAAGTAGTCCTGGCTGGTGTGGCTCTGTGGATTGAGTGTTGGCCTGTGAATGAAACAAAAGGTTGCTGGTTTAATTCCTTGTCAGGGCACATGCTTGGGTTGCAAAAAAGAACATCTTAAAAAAAAAACCCAAACGAAGTAGTGCACCCTGGATAACACCAGTGTTGGTGAGTGTGCAAGGAAACAAGCGTTCCTGCACTTGCAAATCATGCCACCTTCCTGAGATCCATTTCTGTCAAAAGCTTTGGATTCTCTGTACTCTGACGCAATTCTATGAGTTAAGACTATTATTTCACTATACAGATAAAGAAACTGAAATTCAGAGAGACTAAGTAACTTTTCAAGATCATACAAGTTAATAGAAACTGCAATTCAAATTCAGTTACCTTACCCAAACTTTATACCTAACCCCTGTACCACAAACTTCATTCAGTAATATGAATTGTGCCCTGACTGGTTTGGCTCAGCGGGTGGGGTGCCCTTTCACAGAGGGAAAGACTGCCAGTTCGATTTCTGGTCAGGGCACACGCATGGGCTGTGGTCTTGGTTCCTGGTCAGGCTGAACCCAAGAGACAACGGATCAATGTTGCTCTCTCACAGTGATGCATCTCTTCCTCTCTAAAAATGAATAAATAATTATAAAATAATATGTTTTTTTTTTTAGAAAGTATGCCTATAATAGAATGAGATGCAGCAATTTAACATTGTACAAGAATATATCAACAATGTGGACCAATGTTTGAAAAATTACAAAGAGCCAAAGTAAGTTTAAGAATGTGATCTTAATTTTATTAAAAATATGTAAGTATATATACCAAACAGACATGTGTGACAAATATATACATGCACATTTAAAGAGACTGGTGAGATCAGAAGTCAGCTACTTTCTTCATTATGTTTATCTGCCTTTCTTAAATTTCCAACTCTGTATTAAATATTGTCATTTCAAACATGTTCGATTTCACATCTCATCCTGTGAATCTGTAACTTAAAGACACAGCCTACACAATCTACTTTTATTTTAAAAGAACATAAAATGGATGGTAACAATTTTAAAACTGATTACTACAGGCTTCTGGTAACAATGGCAAAGTAGATAAATGCGGTACTCACATTCTCCCCAAAACACATAAAAATTACAAATAAAGTACAGAATCATCATTATTCAGAACTGCCTGAAACTTGGATGGACAGAAGTCCTACAACTAACGATATGAAGCAGCAGCCATTTCTAGACTAGTTGGAGGGGTAGAGACACAGAATGCCTTGTCCCACACCCACCCATGGTGGTTAAAAGTCAGGAGAGATATCTTGACTGCAAAAGTCCCCCGTGAGAAGCAAGGGGTTCCAGTCCCACACCAGGTTCCTCCAACTTAGGGTTCCAGTGCTGGGAAGAGAAGTCCCCATAACTTATGGCTGTGAAAACCAGGGGGATTGTGGCCGAGTTGAGACCAGTGCTTCTGGAGTCCCAGGAGTTCCTCTTAAAGGGCCCAAACACAGTCTTACTTGGATTCACCCCCTCTGAGTTCCAGTACTGTGGCAGCAGTTCGAAAGGTGCCAGGGAGATATGGGGAGTAACTGGATTGTCTGGCATCAGGGCAAGGGTTGGAGGGGTAGCTTTCTCCCAGACAGAAATGCTAACAGAGGCCACGGTTCCTTTGTTGAGCCCTCTCCCCACAGAGCTGGCAGGCAGGCACCATAGCTGAGTCTCTATTGACCTCACTAACACTGTTCACCCTGGTAGTTCCATGAGACCCTGCCCTGCCCAATTTTTGGAATCGTCCAAGCCATTCATTTTCGGTGACTTTTCTGTATAATCTGCCTTGGTTTATGCTGTGAACTTTTCTAAAAGTTCTTAAACAAGCAGCATCTGGTGTGTGCATGCCTGTACCTCTTTCTAAGTCGCCCCAAGCCCAGCATACGCAGCAGTCATTTTCAGATCACTTTGTTGCTCATGCCAGGTGGCCCTGGGCAGGACACAGGCAATGGACACCCTTGGCCTGCACCTCCCAGGAGAACCCAGTCATTGTACCAGTAGACGGCATCAGAACATGCTGAAACACCACTCAACCACTTCCATGAACAACACTCAAGGCATGAACTTGGCAGACATGAGAGCCTTACTGAAGCAACTCCTGCTTTGTGATTTTGGGCTCTGCACAGCAGATCTTCCCTAGTGGTCATGGCCAGTCCTTGAAGCCGACCAGCCTGGGGGTAAATCTCTCCCACTGAAGTGTAAACAGCAATCAAGGCTCAAGTACAACAGGAGGGTGCACACAGACCGCACAAGGGGAAGAATGGGGAAGCTGTGACACTGGGCCTTAGGGGACACCTACTACATACATAAGGCCATACTATCAAGACTGGGAGACGTACAAGCTCTATGTAATACATAGATACAAACACAGGAAGGCAGTCAAAATGAGGAGACAAAGAAACATGTCCCAAATGAAAGAGCAGGACAAAACTCCAGAAAAGTAAATAAGCAATCTACCAGATGCTGAGTTTAAAACATTAGTATAAGAATGTTCAATAAATTTAGCGGAAGAGTAAATGAATTTAGTGAGAACTTCAACAAAGAGATAGAAAATATAAAAAAGAGCCAATCAGAAATGAAAAATACATTATTGGAAATCAACAGCAGAGTAGATGAAGCCAAGGATCAAATCAGCAATTTAGAAGATAAGAAAGCAGAAAACAGCCAATCAGAACTGCAAAAAGAAAAAAAGAATCCAAAAGATGCGGCTAGTTTAAGGAGCCTCTGGGACAACTTCAAGCATACCAACATTTGCATCATGGGAGTGCCAGAAAAATAAGAGAAAGTCGAGGAATTAAAACCTATTTGAAAAATATGACAGTAAACTTCCTTAACTTAATGAAAGAAATGCATATACAAGTCCAGAAAGCACAGACTCCCAAACAAGATGAACGCAAAAAAGGCCCACACCAAGACACATCTTAATTAAAATACCAAGTTTAAAGAGAAAACCTTAAGAACCAGAAGAGAGAGACAGTTATCTACAAGGAAGTTTCCACAAAATTGTGAGCTGATTTCTCAACAGAAATACTTCAGGCCAGAAGGGATCAACATGAAATATTTAACGTAATGAAAAGCAAGAACATACAACCAAGATTACTCTTTCAAGTAAAGCTGTGACTAAAATCAAAGGACCGATAAGAGCTTCCCAGACAAGAAAATCTGAAGGAGTTCATCACTACCAAACCAGTATTACAAGAAATGTTAAAGGGTTTTCTTTAAGAAAAAAAAGAAAAAAATTAAAAATGAGTAATAAAATGGCAACAAACATCTATTGATAATTACTTTAAATGCAAATGGATTAAATGCTCCAATTGAAAGGCATATGGTGGCTGAATGGATAATTAAACAAGACCCTTACATATGTTGTCTTCAAAAGACTCACTTTAGTTTGGAAGATACATACAGACTGACAATGAAGAAAGAGAAAAAGGTATTAAATGGAAATGAAAAAAAAAAGTTGTGATAGCAATATGTGTATCAGAAAAAATGGACTTAAAAATAAGCTATATAGCAAGAGACAAAGAAAGACCCAGCAATTCTAGGTATTTATCTCAAGAAACCCAAAACATTAAGTAAAGAACACATATACATCAGATGTTCATTGCAGCATTTTTTTTTACAATAGCCAGGATATGGAAGCGACCTAAGTGTCCACCATTAAATGAACAGATGAAGAAGACGTGGCGCATAAATGGAATATGACTTAGCCATAAGAGTGAAATGTTGGCACGTGCAACAACATGCATGGACCTAAAGGGTATTGTGCTGGGTGAAATATGTCAGAAAGGAGAAATGCCAGATGATTTCACTTATATATCAAGTGTAAAAACAAAATAAATGAACAGAAACAGACTCATAGATAACAGAGAACATTTTGTTGGTTGCCAGGTGGGAGGGGGGGTTGGGAGATGGGTGAGAAAGGTGAAGAGATTAAGAGGTACAAATCAGTAGTTACAGAACAGTCATGAGGATGTAAAGTAGAGCATAGGATTATAGTCAATAATATGTTAATGATTATCTATGGTGTTGATGGATACTAGATTTATTAGGGTGATCAGTTTGTAATTTATATAAATGTCTAATCACTAGCTTGTACACTTGAAACTAATATAATATTGTATGTCAACTGTAATTGAAAAAAATATTGAAAAAATAAAATAAAATAGATTACCATTCTTTAGTAATTCATCTTGAATTATTCTTATTTTAAGTCTAATCAGTGTTTATTTACAAAGGTTGTTTAGGTTGCAAACCTATACCAAAAAGAAAGGGCTACAGGGAAATTGGATAGGGGGACAGCCCCTTCCTCTGGAGCACCTACTAACTGGTGTTTCTTTCCTAGTGTTAATGACATTATTCCATGCTCTAATCCTGTAACCCTGCACTGACTTTACACTTTAACATGAGATCAGAATATGGTTCAAATGAGAGATTCCCTGGTTAGTGAGAAAAAGTATCAAGACCTCATGCTTATTTATTGATAAAGGGTAAGGATGGGAAAAACAAGACTTGTAACTTTCCCATGTTGATCTTTAAAAAAAATACTCAATGTTTGTTCAGTGTGCAGTTTCTTTTCATTTGACTTACAAGGTGTTGTTTTAACAGGAGTGGAACGCACTGAGCAATGTGACTGACTGAGGAAGAACCGGTACATGCAGATAGTAGCTTCCAGTTCTGTCCTAGTAGAGAGAATATTCTTGTATTTGTTGAAAAGCTCTGAGAGGAAGGAAGAGACATTAGTGAGAATTTCCCTCAGATAACACATGTTTTAGTTTAAAGAAATCCTGCTCAATTATGTTCCCCAAATATCATATATGAGTAATTTAGAACGGAAGTTGGAAACCTTGCTTTTTTCAATAAATTTTCATTTTTTCTCTGCCAAACTTCCCATTGTTATAATGCAAACACAAACTGTTTATTTAATGGATAGATGATCTTTCTCCTGCTTTTTTTCTGGGTGAAGATTGGTTCCACTGTAGCTCAAAGATTATACAGTTGTCTTATTATTATATCTCTTTGTCTACAAGTTAAAGTACTAACATACTTGAATTTTTATGGCATTTCTAAGTGTTATATGTACATTTAGATAATTTTGAAAGCACCAAAAGTCTAAGTAAAATTACCTACAACTTGGGAAAAAATGCTTATTATTAATAGTATAGTGTTAATAGTGTATACCCTTGTTTAACTTATTGCACATTTGCATATTAGAGGCTCCGAAAAACCAAGAATTTACTGTTGTTTTAAACAATGTTTCCCAAACTTTTCTGACCATGAATTCTTTGGTGGTGTAATAACTATGAATAACCTGAGTAACAAAGGATCTGAGGAACACATTTTAGGAATATGCTACCTTAGTCAATGTATCACTGTCCAGGATCTTCAGCTGTACTCGTAATCCAGAATTAACCAAACTCAACAATGTCCACCACTCTACCTAAACTCACACAGACTAAAGCTGAATAGTTTACAGTGATAACTTCACTTCAGGAAAGCAACATGCATCATTTTATATTATGTAAATTATATGTCAATAAAGCCTCTTCTTTCAAAGACATCAATATGCTTGTGTTTTAGGAATACGGAGAACAGAGTAACCTGATGAACATGAGAAATAGGAGATTGGAACAAAAAAAGGATAGTCTGAAGGGTTATTTTATGAGGACCAAGGTGATTCAAGCTTGCCCACAAGAGAGGATACATCTTTAGTTATAACAATGTCTCCCAGACTCATACTCCATAATTATATATCTTTTAGCTTTTCCTTTCAAATGTTCTGGCAAATGTTTGCAAATTAATCTACTTAAGTCCCCCTACAGTACAAAAGAGTAAATGCATATTCCAGGGGGGAAATAAACAGTAGCAGCCATATTCCAAAATAGCCACACTTTCTTTTAAACTTCATGTCTTTCCTAACATATACATGTGAGGAAATGTCTTTAAAATGCAAAGGTTGTAAGTTTTTAATTTCAAATTATTAGGTGTAACTGAAAGATAAAGAATAAGTTATATACTTACCTGTGACTTTATATTAAAACACATCAAATATACTCTATTTGAGAAGTACAGCTCAAAGTTCAACATCTTTTAATCTTACCATGAAGCAAATATTGACAAGATTGATATAAGAGCTAAATCAGAATCACACTCTATGAATCGTTCCTACAGCTGACACATGAGATCTTATTTGCTGCCACAGATCAGCAAATTTCATTCCTTGTGCCGCAACAGGTCTTAAAACGTGCAACACTTAGGTATTTAGTCTGGGGCACTAACTTCTTTTCTCTTGGATTGTCAAATAAAAAAAGACAACAGTCAACACAACAATAGCCTTCTGGTGTGAATGTCCTGTCTTGAACCATAAATAGATAGGTCATATAATAGAGTTGCATCTTATTGGTCACATCACATAATAAGGTTGCATCTGATTAGTTAATTCTTGGTACCAGAAACCTTTATGTACAAGTATAGGCACCTGATTTCTTAAAAAGTCACTTTGGAGAAAAAAGGGTAGGTAATCAGTATTTTTTTTTGTAAATCAATCAAAATTATACCTATTTTTGTCAGATCAACAAAAAATATATTTTTGGTGTGTTACAGAATTTTAGTAATTAGTTTATGTGTGCCATAAGATGAAAGAGGTTGAAAATTGCTGCCATTGACATTTTGCCATAAAACAAAATGTCTGTCAATGAACATCTTTTTCTTGGTTACCTCTTGGTTTGTTAAGACACTTTTATCACCCCCCCAAAAACAAAAATGTAAAAGATGATATTTTTCTTATGCAAACTATTTATTGAACTATTAAACTATTATATTTAAAACATCACTCTTGAAATAGGCCACAAAAATTAGAGCATTCAAAAATCTTAGGTAAGACTTTCTTTTTTTCATTCAGCTTGTATAAAGTTTAACAGAAAGAGGATACTTCTTTGAAGACTTGCAGTTGGTTCAGACTCAGTTTCTGCTCACGCTATGTAGAGCATCCATGATGGTTTTATTGTACTCTGCAATCTGCTTGGTCACATTCTTCCTAATTGACTGGTAATCACTCTCTTGACTCTTGGTTGCTATGACTAATTACATGAGTTAAGGGGGAACACTATTGGTAAAAATATTAATGTAGCTGCAAAAGAAAGGAAATAAATCATAAATAAATCATAGTATTTTTCTTATTGAAAACTGAAGATGGTACAAAAAAGGACAGTAAGAATATTTTTTCAAAAACAATATATTATGCCCAAGCTGGTGTGGCTCAGTGAATTGAGTGCCGGCCTGTGAATCAAAGGGCTGCCAGTTCAATTCCCTGTCTAGGGCACATGGCTGGGTTGTGGGCCAAGTTCCCCAGTAGGGGGAGCACAAGAGGCAATCACACATTGGTGTTTTACTCCCTCTGTCTCCCTCTCTAAAAATAAATAAATAAAACTTAAAAAAAAAAAACAAACCCTATATGTTACTTTAACAAATTGAACATCAATTGATACCTAAAAGGCCAAGCAAAACTGGTTTCAAAAAAGTTCACTTATAATATAAAGCTTTTTTTAGCCCTGGCTGCTGTGACTCAGTGGATTGGGTGACAGACTGCTATCCAAAGGGTCGCTGGTTCAATTCCCAGTACAGGGCACATGCCTGGATCGCAGGCCAGGTCCCCATGAGGGGGTGTGCAAGAGACAACCACACACTGATGTTTGTCTCCCTCTCTCCCTCCCTTTCCATCTCTAAAAATAACTAAAAATATTAAAATAATTTTTAAAAAGCTTTTTTATAGTTAATATCTTATGCATCTCAATCTAATTCTGGTCTCAGAACAATAGAATATTCAAAAGAATCATGTTCTCTAGAGTATCACAAAGAATTTCAGGCAAGTGTCTAAACTCCACTGTTTCTAAATCATCTACTTGAAGGTGCAGAAAACAAGTGCTTTACATTAGCATATTGTAAATGGGAGTTTTTTGCTTTTAAACTAAGTTGCATGACCACTGGTAACAGAACTCCTAATGCATCTCATTTGGAGGTAAGCTATAGTCCCTGCCAGCCCTGAGCTGTGTCCTAGAGCAGAACCTCTGCTGCAGTGAGTCAAGATCTAATTCACCAAGCAGAGATGTCCTTGAATGGGGTCAAGGAACGGAATAGAAAACTACTTTGGGGAAATATGTCTTACAACACCATGTAATATATGTCCTCAGCGCCTGCTTCCTCCTATAATTACACAAAAAGATAAGCAAGAGGATGGGATGTAGGCAGAAATAAGATGAAGGTGAATTAGTTGAAACACAGATGAGCTCGAAGGTCAATTTTCTCATAACATTACTTAGTTTATCTTCTTTTGCTGCACAGATATCCAAATACAGCAATATAAACAATACTAAACAATCATATACATATACATATGGTTATATATAATTTTCCCAACAATGCTATGAAAGGAATTATTAACTATATTTGAGATGATACAATTGAGGGTTAAACAAATTAATTGTCTGAAGTCCATGGCCTATAAGAAGTAAACATATAAAATTAGATCTACTGATTTCATATCCTGTGTACTGAGTCACTATGACATGCCACAACTTTATTTTATTTTTTTAGGCTTACTCAAGGACATTTTTTCACTGCTTTTAGACAGAGAAGAAGGGAGAGAGACACCAATGTGATAGAGAGGCATGGATTGGATGCTTCCCATAAGCACCTGGACCAGAGATTGAACACATCCAGACCCAGGATTAGCCTGCAACCCAGTCATGTGCCCTGACTGGCAATCAAACCCACTAACTTTCCATTATAGTTTCCATTATTGCAACCGAAACTCCGTTACAGGATGATAGTCCAAATCAACTGAGCCATGCCATCCAAGGCCACACTATGACTTTATGTACTCTGCTTTCTATTAGTTACCTTGCTACACACACACACACACACACACACACACACATACACACAAACACCCCCTAACTACTGTTGAGTGGTTATTCCCTTATTCCTTTATTCCCCACATAATTAAGCTCAGTGCTTTATACATATTATGCATTTGATATTTGATGAATATGTTGAATAATTTCATTTCAGTCTGTAAAGAAATTCCTAGAAAAAAAATCACTTGGTCAGGTTTATTTGCAGCTTTTAAAGGATACATTCTTTCATCACAAAATTATTTTGTTCATGGTGTTGCCACTTCCTCTCCAAATTTGTAAGCTAAAAACACAAAAGAAAAATGTTAACCATTGCCCATATTCACAAAAATTATTATACAACCTCTTAAGAAAATAAGGAAAGAAACCACTCAATTTTAAATCTTATCAACTCCTTGCATGAGATAAAGTTATGGTAGACAAAAAAGAAATTCAGGAAATATTAAATAATAGTAAATTCACTAATACAAGGTTGACTTTGACAACAGGTTTACTCTTATGTTTAGTTTAGTAGAAAAATATTTAAAATATTTATTATACCAATGAACATGCCAACTGAAGGACAATTTATGTTTTTTCCTTTTTGTAAAAGAACTTAAAAAAGAAGAATGGGACATGATGAGGATCTCTCCTTGAAATCTGGAAGTCTAATGCCACAAATGTAATATATATTCTAACACTGTCAAATGTTCAGCTATATAGAAGAAACTTCCTTATTTCCAGGGCTAAATTTCCTGTCTCATTCCACAAGCTGTGATAAGAGCAGAGCTGCAGTGTGAAGATTATAAGAGGGCTGGTGAAAAGCTGGCATGCTTACAATAATTTCTGCATCAACAGGAAGCTAATGTGAATATTATATTGATGGTTGCTTCCTCAGAAGACAATTTTACTGTTATAGAATTAAATTGTTTTTCTGATTTAATTAACCTTGTAACTCTGGGCTAAGTCTTTCTTTTTTAAGATGCACATAGCTGTTTTCCAAGTATCATCTGAAAAATGAAACACAACATGTTCTGCTTGGACATTTTCAATAAGTAATGATCATTTTTAAAAGTCTGATCACTGAGGCAGTTTTAGTTAATATTTCTTCATACATTCATGCTAAAATTATTTTTCAGGCATAAGTTTGGATTTAATATAGCATCTATCCTACTGTTTCCTCCAAGGAGATAAATCTAGAGATTAGAATGAATCATAACAATACATTATGTGAACTTCAAATGCTTCGAGTTAACACTATTAAATCAGATCTAGCTCTCCCAGATAGGACCTTGAAGTGAAGGTGGACTTAAGGAAGCAGTCAGCACTTTTTGACAATAAATCTCTAATAACCTTTTAAAAAGTCAAGTACCAAACTTTTCCCTCTTTGTTTCACACAAAGAGGTGGCCTTCTTATAAAACAGCAGACGTCTTAAGTGCTAGGTGAATAATATTATAAAAGCAACACTATACCAGATGGTCAAATTTCTTCTATATTATACATCTATATTCTTGCTTTTAAACCTTTGAGGCTATCATAAACCACAAATCTGTTTATTTTTTACAACTTATTTAAAACATGATATGTTATTTATATATTTTGAATCTTAACCCCTTATAAGCTCTATGATTTTTAAATACTTTCTCCCATTCCCTAAATTGTTTTTGCGTTTTGTTGTTTGTTAAAAGGAACAGATCTTTCTAGTTTAACTAGGTCAACTTATTCTGCCTTTGTTGATTGTGCTTTTGTTGCCTTACCAAAAAATTGTTGCCAAGACTAATGTCTCTATGTGTTCGCCTATGAGTTTTACAATTGTTCCAGCATAAATATATTTACATGATTTCGAATAACTAATAGCCATTCATTCAGAAAAATAGTTTGTGATGTAAAATTATTTAGAGATGTAAAAAATGATTTTTCCATAAAATAGTTGTAAAATATAGGGAAATTAGAATTGGATTTGATTATTTGGTTTTTATAAAAGGCAACAAATAATACAGAGAAGGACTGTACATTGTGGCTTATGTTATTAATTTCTATTATCAGTATATGAGGTTAAGAACATGATTAGTACTTAATGAGGAAATAAGGTAGCTACTGACGGGCTCTAAGAAATTGTGTTTGTCAAGTGTTTTTCTCCTGACATCATCTATTCAGTGAAAGAGAAGGGCCAATATTCCGTAAGAAATATCAATATCTTTCCCTCGAACCATTTATGATGATGACCTTATAAACAATTTTTAGGTTTCTTCTCCAGCACCCATCCCCACTCTAAACATCTTAGGATAATTTTACCATTTATAGGTCTACATTGAGATTTACATATTATAGAGACAGAATAACTGATAAAACTGAATTACGTAAATTTGTGTTTTCTAAGGTTTCGTAGTGGTAGCAAACTCTGTTGAGCCCTCTACCCCATTCAAGAAGAGTATAGGTATTTTTTTAATGGTATAGCCATACAACAAAACAGCTGATGTCATAAAATGTCATCACAGGAGAGTTTGAAAATATTTAAATAAGAAAATAAATGTTTAAAAACTGTATGCATAAAATGATTTCATTTTTTGGGGGGGGAAACAATGCAATATGGGTATATAATTGCAAAGGAAAATGTTTGTAAAATGCTACTGCAAAATGTTAACAACATATCATGATATAGTCAATATATCATGACTATATTACTATATAAGAAAAATTGTTAATGCACTTAGCATCAATAAATCATAGTTGCAAATACACTAATTAGATATGAGAAGCACTAATCTTTATAAGACCTTAATTACTGATTTTGTGCATGACACATACACTTCACATAATGCTTCAACAAATACTAATTAAACTCCTATAATGTGCCAATCACTAGGGAGAAAATTAATGGAATGGACATCATCTCTGCCATCTCAGACACAGGGTCTCAGGCTAGAAGACCTCAGAAATTGCTCAGGTAATTATTAGTAGAATAAGTGATATGAAAAGGGGGCTTATTTGTACATCCTGTGTAAATAATCACAGATGTAAATCAAGAAGTTCAAAGATAGGATTACTTTTTACAGCATTAAGTAGCTTTGAAAATTGGAAACAATCTAAACATCCACTGATACAGAACTGGTCTAGTAAATTATGCTATATCCATGTAGGCTACTACTGTATTATAAAAAATTGTATTTAGAAAACATCTACAGATAAGGATGAGTACTTGTTATGTATAGTTAATAATGAAAAACAAGTGTGAGGTGGTATCTCTGTAGTTTTGATTTGCATTTCCCTAAAAGTTACTGAAGTTGAGCATCTTCTCATATACCTGTGGGCAATCTGTATGTCTTCTTGGGAGAAGTGTCTATTCAGATCCTCTGCCCATTTTTTAATTGGATTTTTTTTGGTGTTGAGTTTTATAAGTTCTTTATATATTTTGGATATTAACCCCTTGTTGGAGCTATTGTTGGCAAATATCTTCTCTCATTTGGTTGGTTGCCTTTTTGTTTTGTTGGTTGTTTCTTTTACTGTGTATAAGCTTTTTAGTTTGAGATACCACCTCACACTTGTTAGAAGGCTGTTATTAACAAGACAGGTAATAATAAGTGCTAGAGAGGTTGTAGAGAAAAAGAAACCCTCATTCACTGTTGGTGGAAATATAAACTGGTACAGCCCCTATGGAAAACAGTATGGATGTTCCTTAAAAAATTAAGGATAGAGTTACCATATGACCCAGCAACCCCTCTTCAGTGTGTACCCCAAACATTTGAAAACATTTATTTGCAAAGATATAGGCACCCTTATATTCATCGCAGCATTATTCACAGTGGCAAAGGCATGGAAGCAACTGAAGTAGCCTTTGATAAATGATTGGATAAGGATGATGTGGTCTGTATATACAGTGGAATACTACTCAGCCATAAGAAAAGGTGAAATACTCCCACTTGTGACAACTGGAGAAAATTATGCAAAGTAAAATAGGTCAGACAAAAAAGTTAAGAACCATACTAGTTCACTCATACGTGGGATATAAAACTGAAGGCAACTCATAGACACGGATAACAAACAGCATGGTTGTTACTGGAGGGAAGGGGGTGGTGGTAGTAAAGGGTAGAAGGGTCCAAATACGTGGTGACCGAAGACATGACTTTGGGTGGTGGGCACATAATGCAATATACAGGTCATGTATCAGAAATGTACACCTGAAACCTATGTAATTTTATTAACCAATGTCACTCCAATAAATTTTAAAAAATGAAAAAAGTTTCTAAATAACATGTATAAAATGAGAATATTTCTATAAATATATCAAAATAAATATGTACATATATACGTATAAAGTGTGTATACACATAACATTCATATAGACTAGCAGGACCCACACAAAATCTGGGTGGGTGGTAGAATATCAGTCATTATTTTCTTTATTGATAGATTTTATGGATTTAGCAAAGTTTCTGCATTAAAAAGTATCTTACTTTTGAAAAATTTCAAAGCTAATGGCTGTGCCCAGAACAGTTTTCAATATAGGTTTGTAGAAGGCAGGTAAGCAGGAGTAAATTCGCTTTGAGTGGAGATTATCTAGCTATCTACAAAGCAAAAAAAATCTGAAAGGTGAAAATAAAAGGAAAGGATAGTTTTGGGGTACAAATATCAAGATAACATGACAGATAACCTAGAGATAAAAATGAGTTTCAGAGTTTTTTTTCTTTTTACCTGAGAATGTGTCTCATTTTCTTGCAATTGTGTTTTTAGTGTCTCATATTCTGTGTTTAGCCTCTCCATTACTTTCTTAAAGGCATTTCTGTGGGTTGACAATACTGTTCTTTCCTGATGTAATTTCTAGACAGATCCAAACAGAAATAAATAACAGGCTTTAGCAATATCTAGTAGGCCAATATAAATTAAATTTGACAAATACTTTCAATGTTATTCTTATAAAATTCTACCAAGGCTATAATTACTCTGAAACCCTCCTGTAAAAATATCCTGTGAACTATAATAAACTAAATTAACACAGAATATGTTAATAACTCTCTTAAGAGTACCATATCTATTCCTACTACACCAAATTTTCATTAATGTAAATGGTAATGAAAAGCCACTGATAAGTCTTAAATAGGAACTTAAGAAGTTCATATTTGTTGAAATGTTCTATCCCTTGCTTTTCGATTATTGTCTTTGGGTTAAAATTTAAATCATTCTAAACTCCCACTATATATGTAAATAAACACCTCTATTTTTCCCTATAAACAACATATATATTAAATTTGTTAAAGAAAAAAACTAGAGCTACAGAATTGTAACACTCTTATATCATTTACCTTTTTCTTTTCTTCACCTGATGATTTTAAAGCTGGCAAATCATTAAATGTCTCTATATCAATTATCATTTGCTTAATTTTGCTTTTTAGAGAATGCTGTTCTTCAGTCATCTTGCTTTCCAGGAGCTCCATTTTCTGAAGGTCCAATTGTAGACGTTGACTGTCTGAAACATAGGAAAATTCAAATCCGTAATTAGTCAAAACTTTATCCCTTTCACAAAAGGAAATATAATACAAGCATTAAAAATCATATTTTATAAGATTACTGGTAATAGAAACATATGCACTGCAACCAGTGAGACAATACAAAGATATATTAAGAAAAAAATACTCATCCCTCAGGTAATCAATATAACTGATGTATAATACATATTAGCTATACTTGTCTCCATGTTCATATGAACATATGAAAGGGGGTACCCCAAAACAGAATTATCTTCTGGAGGATGGACCCCTTGTAGTACTTTGCCCGCTAGGTGAGTGTTTTAGGGACCCATCTGTATCAGTCAGTGGACCAGCTGGCATTGTTGTGAGGCTGCTTTCAGCTTCAGTAAACTTTTTTTGAAGACTTTTGATTGTATCCAGTGATTTCACAATGGGTGATTGATGAGCGCACCTGCCCACATTGCGCTGAGTATTCAACAGTTTTGACTAAAAATGACATGACCCCCATGCCCCACCCACTCTTCCTATTTACTTGATCTCGCTCCAAGTGACTTTTTTTTTGTTTGTTTCCCCAATGAAAAAAGTCCTCAAAGGGAAATGTTTTACCAGCGTGGAAGAGTTGAAACAAAAAATGCCAGAGGCACTAAAAATCATCAAAATTGAAGAGTTCAAAAACTGTTTTGAGCAGTGGAAAGAATGTCTTGATAGGTGCACTGCATCAAATGGAGAGTACTTTGAAGGTGACTGAAATTTAAACATGTAAGAATAAATACACGTTTTTTAAATAAATAAATTCCATTTTTTGGGTCCCCTTTGTATAAGATACAGTTCTCTTCTTAATAGTAGAACATATATTATGAGATAAAGAGCCATTATTTTAAGTAGGAAGATGACCCACATATAGTTACACAGGGGGAAAGCAAGTTATGAAATGTTATGTGTAATTGATCTTAATGTTATAATTATATATACAGTCAATTTTCATTATTTCCAGTAGTCACAGTCTATAAAGTCACTGAGTTTGCAAATACTAAACTACTGCTCCTAGGTGACGTACAGGGTTAAGTTTCTGTGAGTCTCTGGTCACAATATTTTCAACTGATTATATATAACCCTGCTTTATGTGTTTGTTTAAACATACTGTACTTAATATATTTGTTAATTTGTTACCCTTGAACTCATTGAAAAAAGCTTATCTCCATAAAGCACATCACATCACAGCCTTCTTATGCTCAGGAACACTAGCCAGCACTTACACAGTATGCCTGGAGGAGGTCAAGCCCTGGCTGGTGTAGGTCAGTGGATTGAGTGTGGGCCTACAAACCAGAGGATCATGGTTCAATTCTCAGTCAGGGCACATGCCTGGTTGCAGGCCACTTCCCAGCAGTATGCTTGGAGGTCATTTTAAATAGCAAAATCACCACAGAAAGCACAAAACTGTGGAAAAAAGTGGCACTTAATATGCCACAAAAGGACTCTTTTATAGTGAGAACTAAAACAAGTTCTTGCCTTATTTCATCTCCATTTGAAATGCACATATCAGACAATTCAAAGTCTTCACCAGCCTACCCATGTGCGCAAATGACCATGAAAGTGCTTCAAGTACTAATTTTGGCATCACAAATTAATTTTAGTGAGTAGGTAAATTCACAAATACAGAATTCATGAACGAGAACTGACTGTGCATACATTCATGCTGTGTGTCTCAATTCTCTGTTTCTAAAGTATTGAGCATCTACTATGTGCCAGCTGTTGAGGAAATAGAGGAAACCAACAGAGACATTACTGTGCTCAAGCAGCTATATTCTAGAAGTACAACCAGGCAGTTAAATAGCATTTATGATAAACTGGATAACTACAACAGTCCTCATTCATAGGTAATATATTCCAAGACCCTTAGTGAATGCCTGAAACTGCAGATAATACCGAACCCAATATATGCTATGTTTTTGCCCCAACACATATATACATACCTATGATAAAAGTTTAACTTTTAAATTAATTTAGAATGTAATCCATAAACAATAACTAACAATAAAATAGAATGATTATAAAAGTCAAATAAGGGTTACTTGAACATGAGCACTGAAATACCAAGACAGTTGATCTGATAACAGGAGTGGTTAATAAATGATTAAGAGGCAGGTGGCATACCCAGTGTGGATACGCTGGACAAAGGGATGGGTCACACCCTAGGCTGGATGAAGAATGGTGCAATATTTCATCACGCTACTCAGAAACACCTGTAGTTTAAAATTTATGATTTTTTTATTTCTGCAATTTTGTATTTAATATTTTGGACTACAGATGGCCATGGTTAATTAGAACCACAGAAAGCAAAACTACAGATAAGGAAGGACTACCATAAAGAGGAATATAGCCCTGGTCAGGTGGCTCAGTTGGTTGGAGCACTGCCCTGTACATCAAAAGGTTTCGGGTTTGAGCCCTGGTCAGGGGACATACCTAGATTACAGGTTCAAGCCCCAGTCTAGGTGCAGTCAGGAGGCAAATGATCAGTGTTTCTCTATCTCCCTTCCTCTCTAAAATGAATAAACATACTCTTGGATGAGGATAAAAAAAAAAAAAGAGTATATAGGGTGCCATAAAAGCCCTGTCAAAAGGGCTCTCCAAAACCATGCTTTTTAAACTGAAGCTTTAAGGATTGGAAGTCAATGAAACAAAAGAGAAAGTAAAAGTGTTCCAGAGAAAACAATCAACATGTGAAAAGTCTAGAGGTAAGAAAACATGGTACCTTTTAGCAAATAAGAAAAGAGTCTTGTATGACTAGAACTCAGAGTTGGTGGATGGTGGCAGGACATAAAACTGAAAAATTAGAAGGATTTCAGTTCAAGAAGGGCTTTTAAAGTTATGATTGGACACTGGGACTTCATCCTATGAGCTAGGGCAAGTCATCAATGAGTTTTAAATCAGAATATGGCAAAATTAAATTTTAGAAAGTTCACACTGCTTACAATGTAGATAATTAGAATAGCAGAACTATGTGCAGGATAAGCAGATAAAAGCTTATTCAGTGATCTAGGCAAGAAATCTTATACTGGTGTAGTTAATTTAGGAACTTTTAATAAATAATATTTATTAAATGCTTCCTATGTATCAAAATTCTAGGCCTAGGAAAACAGCAATGAATAAAGCATAAGAATATATTTATGAAATATAGAGTTATGTCAGATGGAAATAAATGAGAAAATAATGCAGTAGAGTCTTGAGGGATTCAAGACAAATTAGGGATTTGGGATTAATGAAAACAATTGATTGAACACAGTGCTTGATCAAGGAAATAATACAGAATTCTATTCCAACTTGAGTAAACGTGTGGATGGTGAGGTAGGCAGAAAGAGGTACAAATTTTTGTTTGAGGAAGGGAGATGATGGGTTGAAGTCAATTTAAGATACGTTGCGTTTGGAATACCTCAGAAACATCCAAATAGAGATAAGATATCCATGTATGGGCCTGTGAAGTCTGAAGATACAGGTTTTGAAATAATTAGCATAGACATGACCTGAAACTATGTAAATGTCTGAAATTATTGACAGAAAATGATTCATTACCAGAAATAATATGAATAAATTGACATGAAGGATACTATAAAAAAAGAATAAAAAATTACCAGAGAAAAGAGGAAAATCAGAAACCTTAGGGCAAAAAATTTCAAGAATAAAGAAGTGGTTTGTAGTGTAGAATATTTCTTTAAAAAAGACTGCAAAGTATATGTGAGATTTACCAAACAGGAGGACCATGATGTATCTGTTGAGAACTGATTTCTTACAAAAAAACAGGATCAAAAGTGAGAGGAAGCTTTTAAAAAATCTGACTGTGAAACAAACCTTTGAAAGGGAATGAGGAGAGCTAAGCAGAGAAGGAAAGGCTTTTTCTTATTTTTCCAAGATGAGATAAAATATAGAAAACAGACTTGAAAGATAAATACTAAAATTCTAATAGTAATAAACTCTTAATAATGGGATTACATTTTTCTTATTTATGCTTTTCTGTATCTCCCAAATCCTCTATAATAAATATGAACTACATTTACAATGGGAAAAATATTTTAAAAAATACTGCATTCTAACAATTATATGATAACTTCTATATTTCAAAGTCTTAACTTTGTGATTCCAACTTTTTAAAAAGATTTTTAAAATTTATTTTTAGAGATGGGGAGGGAGAAAGAAAGGAAAACAATGCGTGATTGCCTCTCACACACCCCCTACTGGAGACTTGGTAAGCAACCCAGGCATGTAGCCTGACTGGGAATCAAACGGGAGACCCTTTGGTTTACAGGCCTGCACTCAGTCCACTGAGCCACATCAGCCAGGGTTGATCCTGCCTTTTAACATCCCTTATGACAGGGAGACAAAGGTAAAAGAGAACCAGTATTACTGAGTACCTAAAATGTGCTTGGCTTTATATGCTATCTCATTTCTTTTCATAATAGCCCTAGGGGGTAAATGTTATTATATGGGAAACTAAAACTTAGAAAGGTAATTTGCCTAAGGTTACACAACCAGTCAGGCTTTGGTGCTCAGTGATATCATCATCTTATGAAATGTTCATTTTTAAGATACCGAATATTACTTTATGATTAAAAAAAAGATGCTACTATGAGCAACAGTGAGCTATGGGAAGAGAAAAATATAACACTTGGTTGATTTTGCTACTTCAGGCTTCTTTCCTCAAGGCATGATTCTTTGGCTTTTCTTATAGCTACCAAAGTAAAATCTTACTAGACCTAACTCACAAAAGGAAGCTAATATGGATCTGAAATACTTATCCTGCATATACAATGAAGAAATCCCAGTTCAAATCTGCCTTTGCCAATTTCCTCTCTGGTGTTCTCAATTAGGTGTGTTAATAATCCTATACATCCAACAGCTACTTATTGTAGACAGAGGCATACAGTAATACATTTTCATGTTAGAATATTTTGCTTTCATTACTCCTCTATTTTAAGGTAGAGCCCTGGCCAGTGTGGCTATCAGT